TGATGGAAAGAAAACAGCCTAAACCTGCCCACTGCTCAAACTCTGCAACTTTGCCAGAGCCCAGCCAGGCCCAGCCAAGCCCCAGGAGAGGCACATGCCTGCGTGTTGCCATATGCGCTCGCTCCCACATAGTGATCAGACAGATGCCAGGCTCAGTCTGTCTAATTGTTCCCTTCTTTGCTGCTCCCAATGCCTCCCTTAAGTGTTATCTTAGCAGAGATGAGGCCACTGTGTTTCAACCTCCTAACTTTGGACTGTGGGGGGGAAACCAGCGTGTCCTGTTCTGTCCATCCATGCCCTGACCCCGGGTCCCAGGAAAGATGCACAAGGCTAGTGCCTCCAAAGGTCCAGGCCCTTTGCTGGAGATTCTTTCATGCTTAAAGGCATGACTACCAGCAGCTCCACCCACGGGTTTCTAGAGGAAGCACCCAGCTGCTAGAAAGGCTAAAAGTTTGTCTGCTGAGGAAGCAACCCTGTCTCAGGCCATTGGTGGCTTGCCACAGAAGGCTGGTCCTGCCCCGGGCAGTGGCTCAGTAGGGTCAGAGTCATCCCATACACCAAAACAGTTGCGGGTTCAATTCCCAGTCAGGGCACATATCTAGGTTAAGGGTTCAATCCCCTGTTGGGTACATATGGGAGGCAACCAATCAATGTTTCTCTCTCACAGTGATGTTTCTCTCTTGCTCCTTTCCTCTCTCTCTAAAAAAAAAAAAAAAAAAAAAAGAAGAAGAAGAAGGCCGGTCCTTACCAAAAGCAGGTTCTCTCAGGGCCTCTGGAGCACAGGGCCTGGAAGTGGTACCTGACTCAGAGGTGACTGCATCGTTTTCCAAGCCCATGGACTGAATGGGGTCAAGACTACCTGATGTTCCATGGGAAAAGAGGACGTGTGTGAGGCAGAGGCCAGCCCATGCTTAGGCCCTGGCCAGAAGCTAGGCTCACCCCTACTGCTCAGCCTGAGGCCCTTCAGATGAATCGAGGCCCCCTGGAGAGCAGGGAATGGGCTGCCCTCCCTGCTCCTTCAGCCTCAGGGCTGGAGGCTTCTGAGCTTCCTCACACACACGGGGCCTTTGGTCTGTGGAGTCCATCACACTAAAGGGCCACAGAGAGAGCCATGCCCAGGGAGGCTGGTCCCCCCACTGCAGTAGGTCTCAGTGAGAAGCATCCATCATCAGCCGGTCTGGGATGTTTGGGGTCCCTTCCTTCCCCAACAGAAGTGTCAGTCTCAACCTGTTGGGACAGATTCCACTCGTTCCTGTTCCTGCTCCTGTTCTGTGGTGGCTGGCACTCCTCCTCCCTGGGCCAAGCACTGGCTTCTCTAGCCCCGACTCCGACTCCGGAGACAGACGAAGGGCCCTGCCCTGACTTTTCCATTCGTTATCCTTAAAGTAAAAAATGATTTGGTTCATACTGGCACAACTGAAGCAACAGAATAAATAAGGATAGTATTACATTATAACTCATGAAACAAAATAAGTATGTGTGAGTCTGTACGGATATAAAGTAATAATTGTATAAATAAATAAATGGGAGTGAAGAAGCAGCTCTTCTTTGCAGAATTCCAATTGATAAATTGGAAAGAATGTAGACGATGCAAAAATCACCACTAGGCAAATGCCACAGAAATAGTTGTTTTAGTTGGAGAAACAGGATATTTGTATAGCCTCAAAGTATCTCCCCCCAAGATATTCATTAATGATAAAGGGGGAAAAATAGTGGCCTTACAATGGAGAAACGAAGCAGACACCAACTTAAACAAGGGATCAAGGTTAACATCACCAGTAATAAGCTATATCGATACTAGGTACCTGCTGGTATGATGCCCCGAGGACACATCACTTCTGTGGTATTCTTGTCAAAAACTCACAAACTCGATTTCATCGTGAGACAAATCACACAAATCCCAAAGCAAGGAGACTCATAACAAGCGTCAAGATCAAGATAAGGAAAGACTGAGCAACTATCACAGATGGGAGGAGGCCAAGGAGACACGACAACCAAATACAATGTAAAATCCTGGATTGGATCCTAACACAGAAAAAGGACACGAGTGGAAAAACTGGTGAAATTAGAACAAGGTCTGAAATTCAGTGAATAATATTGTAACCAATGTTAACTTCCTGGTTTTAATAAATAAATTACGGTTATGTAACTTGTGACCATTAGGGAAACCTGGGTGAAGGGTGTATGGGAATTCTCTGTGCTATTTTCACAACTTTTCTCTAAATCAAAAATTACTTCAAAATAAAGTTTAATAAAAAGTGATTCTTAGTTACTGCACAGGACGAATAAATTGGACTTCACAAACAGCCCCTGAGGAAGAAAACTACCGCATATACATATACACACAAAGACAGATGCACGTACATACCACATTTCATTTACCCATTCATCCGCTGATGGACACTTGAGTTACTGCCATTTTTGGCTATTGTGAATAATTCTGCTATGAACATGGGTGTACCGATATCTCTTTTAAGACTGTGCTTTCAATTATTTTGTATTATACCAAGAAGTGGTATTGTTGGATCATATGGTAATTCTATTTTTAATTTTTTGAAGAACTGCTATACTGTTTTTCATAGTGCCTGCACCACTTTACATTCCCGCTAAAGTGCACAAGGGCTCCAATTTCTCCACATCCTTGCCAACACTTACTTTCCTGTGTGTGTGTGTGTGTGTGTGTGTGTGTGTGTGTGTGATTTAAATAACGGTCATCCTAGTGGGTGTGAGATGATATCTCATTGTGGTTTTGATTTGCATCTGTATTTCCCTAACAATTAGTGAGGTTGAGCACCTTTTCATACACCTGTATCCCTTTTGTAGATAAGGAAAAAGAGGCTTTGAGCAGTGAATGTAACGTGCTGAAGTTAGCCAGGTGGTTAGCGGTGGGGTCAGAACCGACGCTGCAGTCAGACTCCAGACTCCTCCTGTGCCACCAATTCTCTGGGGAGAGCCACCACCGCCCCCAGCCGCCACCCTGGGGCTTCTCCCACCTTCCTCCCAACCACCAGTGCCCATTTGCCTTTTACCTGACTCCCACCACCCAAAAAGGAAGCAAGGAGGGGAAAAACCAAATCCTGGTGTGTGTGTGTGTGTGTGTGTGTGTGTGTGTGTGTGTGAGATGAAGAGCATCCCACAGGCCCCCTCTCTGTAAGCAGGGCACAACAGGGTAGCTATGTACTTGGAGGCCAGCAGCTACCCACCCCTGACACCTGAGGGGAACAAAACCAGCAAGGAAGGGAAAAGAGACTGATCAACACAGCTGCCAGGGAGGAGACAGCAGCCAGCTGGGCCAGCTGCAGCTTAGTTGCTGACGACGCTTCCAGGAACTGAGGTGGGATGAACTGGCCTCCAGTCTTAGGTGCCCCTGGGCCAGGCTGTAGGCAGGGCATGGGCAAGCACTAGGAGGCCCGGTTAGGGGATCCAAGAAGTATGGCCACCTTAGGGTCTAAGGTAGGCATGGCACCAATGCCAGTGGGAATCTGAGGTGGCCCATAGGCTGAGCCCACTTTCCGTGGGTCCTGTAGATGTTGCAGCCACCACTCCTGGCTGGCCACCAGTCTCTGCCAAAGCAACTCCCACAGCTTCCTCACGAATCTTCTTGCTTTTTATAGCAGCTAGAGTGAGCTCTTTCTGAAAACACAAATCTGGCCATGTTACCCCTTGCTTAGAACCCTCACTGTTCTTGGAATAAAGTCGATTCCTCTGCGTTCCTACCAGGCCCACCAGGAACTAGCCTCACCTGCTGGGCGTTTCTAGCCTCACCTGCCATCCTCTGAGCTCCAGGCACCCTGATCTATAGCATTCCATCCCAGGATCTGCCACGTTCTTTGCCTGGATAAGTCCTGCTCATATTTCCAGACTTTGCTCAAATTTTATCCCCCCTCCTTGGAGAATTTCCTCACTCTGTTATCTCCACAGAGAGGGTAATATATCTGCCCCAGGTCACAGAGCAAGCCAGTCAGGATTTGAATTCAGGCTCCAGAACTCCATTGATGTTAGCCCTCTCTGTGACATGGCCAGTATGCCCCAGGGGCATCTGACCTCTGAGATGTCTGCAGCCTAGTGCCCAGCTCAAAGCCAGCCGTGGTGTCTGATGGTTGTCCTATTGCCCATTGTGCTGAAGGAAGGGGAGAGCAGAGGCCACCCTCAAGTTTTTCTTGGGAGGAACACAGAGCAGAGGAGGGTCCAGAAGCTGGGGAGTCCGACCTGCCCAACCAATAGCAGGAAACGAGTCTGTGAGGATACCCTTCTCAGAAGGACGCGTGCCCTGACCCAGCATCTCCTGGCCCTTACCCAGGGCAAAGCAGGAAATGCAGGGGGCGAAGCTGTGTGTATCCTGACTTCCGAAACTCGGAAAACCTGCCACCAAATCACTTAGGATGCTAAGGGGCTAATGGCATAAGCTGGAGCCCCCATCCACCACCGGGCCCTATGCTCAGAGGGGTCTCGGTGTGTCTGTCTCTTCTTAAGGGCCTTGGGGCCATGGTCATTGCCTCCTCTGATCCCTGCACCCAGCAGGCATCAGGAGGACCTCTGCTCCTTTCCGCAGAAACTGGAGCCCAAGCCTCACCTTCGGCACGTGAGAGCAGTAGGCCCCGGATGCTTCCAGAAGTCCGTGGCCACCAGCAGGCAGACCTGCCCATTTGTGTCTGCACTTGAGCTCAGCAGCGTCCCCTACACACCCCTCCTGCCTGTACAGAACTTGACTCAGCCTGTACATCTGGGGGCCTGGGGCTGAGCCTCTCTAGGGCAGCATCTAGGGCTCTTGAGAAACAACTTCAACTGTTGTGCAACTCTAAAAGGAGAAGACAGTTGGCCATAACACTCCCTGCTCCATCCCCTCCATACGGGACCGAAAGATCAAGAATGAGCTTAACGTGAGTTCGGTGCTCTTCGGCCGCACTCCTATGTTGGAAGCATAACCCAGTGGTGGGACAGCCAGCGTGGGGGAGCCTCGAAGGGGGCTGCCACGGATAGAGGGTTGCTCACACACCCACCTCGGTCACGATGGTGGACAGGTAGACGTCCTGGCTGAACTCCCAGCCATCCAGGCAGTCCTCCTGCTCCAGCTGCTCCAGGTCCACGTCGCGCCCCGGCTCCAGCCCGAGCGCCGAGAAGTTGGCGATCGCGGCGAGCCGGTAGCGCCGGCAGTTGTGGGGCACCTGGCGGCCGTCCTGCAGCCGGAGCGGGGCACTGTGGTTGCGCCAGGCGCTGCTCAGGTTCGCCGAGTCGGGCACCCGGCAGCGGTGCTCGGGGGTCCCCGCCAGGAACACGATAGACATGCCGTTGAAGCCGTTGGGGATGATGCTGGCGCTGAGCAGGAAGAAGATGAGGCGCTGGAAGAGCCCCCACTCGCCCAGGAAGGAGGTCACCTCGTCGTAGTCCCGCATGCTCCCCGCCGCGGCTCGGCCGCTCGCAGCGCGCGGTGACGACAGGAGCGCTCTCCGGAGGACGCCGCGCGGCCGAGGGCGTTCCCCGGGGGTGTCGGCACGTTCTGGGGGCGGCCGGCTGCGGAAAGGGGGACGCGCGACCCGGGCCGGTTCCCGGGAAACCTGCTGCGGGATTTGGACGCCAAGCTGGAAGCCACCGTAGAAACTCGGGACCACACCCCCATCCCGCCTGGGGCTGGGGCTGGGGAGGGCCGGGCGGCCGGACCCGCTGGGGTGGGCTTCCGGGCCGGTTCGGCCTCGAGTAAAAGATCTGAACGACGACCTCGCTGAAGACGGAGTAACCTACTCTTTAGTGAGCGGGGGCCTTAGAGATACCATAGTACTAGGAGGAATGCGAGGAGGCAGATAAAGTCTCTTTTTAGCATCGCTTATATACTCGGGAAGGGTATGGAGATCCCATTTGTGAAGTTGTACTGGATATCTCAGAAAAAACAGGGCTACCGTCCTTATTCTTTTCAAGAAAATTGCCTTTGATTACATTTATCCCTTTTTTATAAAGAAAATCATTTTAGATATTATTTGGGAATTGCCAATTTTATAAGCTTGGGAATTTGCTGAACCTTGCGGTTTTTTAATCTCCTGAAAATTATGG